CTTAAGCAACGACGACGGCGACGGCAACAAGAACGGCAAAAAAGCAATAAGTTTAAAAAACAAAACAACACCTCTACACGTGTATCACGCTTTTTTGTACATTTCTTTGCCGTCGCTGCACGACTACGACCTGAAACTGCCTAATTTCACGTTTTGAGGAGGACGCGAACACAAGACAACGACCCTCTCTTTCTTTCCTTGAACTTTCATGAAGTCATTTAGAATTCAACTTAAAAAAATACGCCAACATCTAAAGAATTGAACGAGACTGAATAAGCGCCAAAAAGTTTGAAGCAGCGCGAACACACTTTTTAAATGACGTTTTAGTAGCCGTCGTCGTCGTTGTTGCTTAAGGGGGACAAGTAGAAGGGGTCTTAGACGAGGGGGAGGGGTACATATCTGAGAGAGGGTACATATCGAAGAGTGACCTCACGTGACCGATCTGAAACGAATTGACTGAGGCGAAATTAGAGGTCTGGGAAGTAGTCAGGGAGTCGCAAGCTAGAGGGGGAACTTAATCCTTCCACAAGGCGCCTGTTGAAAGGCGGGAGAAACTTCTAGTTACCTGGATCTGTTTTTTTACCTGACAATGTAGGTCAATGAAATCCCGGGAAGCATACTGAGCCATTTTGTGACGGAAATTTAGATGATTACACAGTTTCTAGAAAAGAAAATAAAAAAAAAAGAACATAACGATAATAGTATGTTATTGGCACTAAAAGGTTTGTTAAATTCTTATGTTTTTCCTTTGTTTTTGGGTGAGGTAATGAATGCTATCGAATTTGAAACAAAAGAAAAATAAATTTCACTGCAACATATACATCTCGCATCCTGAATTAACGTTAACCTTCAGTGGTTCCCTGAAGATAGAATTGTCATCTCCATGTTGCTATCTGAAATGTTAAACTAATACATTGCGAATGCCTTCATCCCTAGTTACATCACGTCAAATCAATTGGACTATCTACTCCATACTCTACCCTGACTTTCGAAATACGAACTAAAAAAGCCTCAAAAGAAAACTCCTAAACGAGGAAAGAGCGTGGGAATCCTGTTGTGTTAGAGCAGCACCCACCTGCGTTTTGGCTTTGTTGAGGAGGTCTGGGTATGAATCTAAAGCTCCAATTGCCACAGCTAATAACCGATGTACCATTATGTCTGAATAGCTGTAGAAAATATTGTATAATTTAGTTTCAGTACGATGCAAGTTCATAATGTGTTCAGTTTTAAATCCATTTTGGTATTTTCTGTGCGCCAGGTAGGGACCATGATCCATCAGTCCAACTGGTACTTTTCAGTTCTGTTTACATTCATGCGTCCATGGATACGTCACTAGGCTGCACTAAGCGTAACGTTCACACGTAGGTTAAGAGAGACGATAGCGAGCTTTTAAGCTCAAAAGCAACTCAAGTCTCAAGATGATACCAAAAGAACAAAGAGAAAAAGAAACAACACAAAAACAAAAACAATGACACCACCACTCAAGTGTCTTAGTGTCATGGCTGAAAACTGTCAAATTTGCTTCACATGACTTACTTTTTCAAGAATCAGCTATCCTTTATTTTCAAATAGAGGAAAGACAATCTACCGTGGTATATAACAGCGATATGCAAAACATAAGAAACGCACCAAAGAGTGTTCTATTTTGGTTCACTGAGCCTTTTAGTTAATGGCTTTTCATGTGGAGCAAGGCAAATGTTACTGGCTAGTACATGAGTAATGGCGATTTTCACTGAAGTTATTAAATAGGAAACAAACATATGTTATCACGAACCGTCTGATTGGTGAGGTAAAATGCGTATAGATTGGAGTTGCCAAGCCATAATGCAGGAACTCCTCTTCCGCAAGCATTCCCGAACAGAAGTAAACCGCTTGCATCATGCATCTTGTTGCCATAATACGAAGCAGCGTGTTAAAGTAGGGCTCATCCGGGATATTAGCAGCATCCAAAGAGACCGCGAGGGATTTGGCACTGTCGACCTCAAGATGCACACCCTGACAGCAGAAAAAAAAACATGGCTTTGTTTTGTGATATACAGCCCGTCATTTGACCAAACCATTTTCCATGTGACTCCGCGGGATCGGTTACTTATTGATAGGTCATTTTCGAGTTGCATAAAGCCTATTTTTTGGAAGGAGGCATGCGCAAAGCCTTCGATACGAAAATGATTTTTTTACTTTCATCCAAATATATCTCATTTTTATAGGAAAGTCTTTGAAATAGTAGCGAGTGCACTGTCCTCCTACCAGATTGGTATAGGTTCAAGTCCCTCCGTCGACATTCTTTTTTCTATTTTATCCCATAATAGACTCGGTTTGCCCCCTCCAAAAATTCTGCATAACCTGTTGTTTTCAGAAGCTCTTGGGATGACTGCATATTCCAAAGAGCAGTTAGCAACTTATGCAAAATTTGGGGGCAAACAGCATGTATTATTGTGGATTAAATAATAGTCACTGTGGATCAACTTGTTGGTTTACACCCTTACTTCGAGAGGATTGTTTTCCGGGCACTTCGGAAAGTCGATCAGAAGTCTTGTTATAGGAGGAACCACCTTGTGGATGTGCTACCAATAAATCGTTTTATATATTTATTTGTTTAAAGATGCGAATTAGATGGAAAATAAAAACTTGCGTTGGAACTCATAAGCACATACAATTTGTGCGCAAGATGCCAAGTAAGAAGAGAGAAAAGGAAATACTGGCGTGCGCTCACATCAGAAATAGAAAGGCAACAATATTTTGTTTGACATAAAAACATAAATCTGTAATAATAGCTGGAGAGCGCTTGGGTGGGTGCATCAAAGTGGGAGAAACGTGTGCCTACAGTGTACTTTAAATTGTAGCGGACAAAAAATTAAAGTATGTTTAAAGTATGTTACGGAAGCCATAATAACGGAAGTGTAAGTTAATGCAAATTTCCTACGAGTAATATGAAATGGTTTCGACTAGAATGGATACCTTAAAATCAGGTTGGACACCTTATGTTTATTACAACGCTATACTCTATACCACGCAAAACTATATTTATGTGAAAGTATTGAGCACACTTTTGAGAAAAGTGGGGAAATCAGAGTAACCGGAGACAATTGTGGGAGGAAAAGAGTTGAATACAGGGTTTAGCACCGAAGTACTATGATTAGGGTTAAGCACTGTTTTAAAAACGGTTAGCTTTCAATAATGTAAAGATTTATACCATGTAAAGTGCGTTAAAATCAACCGATCTCGGCAGTTAGCCCTTGATAGTGTAGTGGATACGGACATGGATTATACATCAAATGACGCGGGTTCAAGTCCTACATACTACCTACTGTTTTCCTCTGTTTTCTTTATTCTCTTATTTACTACTTTAAGTTATAATTAAGACTCCTATCATGTATTTTGAGTGAAGATGACAATCTGACTTTGAGGTATCCATTCTTGTCACAACTAATGTGAAATTCTACCATTAAGTTTATCCAACAATCAATCCACTTCTGTACCAGGCGAGTGTTAAATACCTTTACCTTTAAATACCCGTTATATTTCCTTTAGTTGCCACTAAAAACGTGCCACAATAGCAGAATGTAAGGTAGTTACGAAATTTCTACAGACCTTGGATCGTGCTGCCTTCACTAGGATGTCATAGTTTGCGGGTGGGGGTGACGGATGTCTTCTTAAAACTGCAAACTCTGGAAAATGCTGAAAAATCTTCTTGGCAACTGAAATATTAGCGAGTAACATGAACTCCTCTACCAGTGAGTTTGTTTCTCTGAAAAACGAAGAATGAGAAAAGTGAGGCAAAAAATGTAGGTAAATCAGTTCACTTTGGTTACTTTGCAACACTACAGTCACTTAATTTTCTGTCAAAAGACAAGCCGAAAATCGGAAAAGGTGTGGGAGAGAAATGTAACACAGGTTTCCTTTTTCTTCCGTTTAATCCTTAATCCTGTGGATGAATCTAGAGTAATCCGCTCCTGGCGGTGGGCTTTGACTCTAATCGGACTTAGAGACACACTCGTACTGAACACTTACTTCAGCTCCTTTGTTTGAAGATCCACTGGGTCATGTGTCTCGCTATCGATATGAAACCGAACTTCTGGTGATGCAAGCGTGAGAGCCCTGAAATTAAGATCAGGATGGACGTAAATTTTAACGAGAGCAGTCAGTTGTTGTAAATAAAAAGACGGACAAACAACAAAGTCTGCTTTTCTGCAACATAAAACCGTACAGTTTTACTTTAATACGTGTAAGTGAACTTTCTCTACCCCTGATCAATGCGTCTTGCTTTAAGGATCTTTGCCAGTTTGTTAAGGTGTCTAAGACTCGTGGTTATTTCATCTGTTTGGCTTGGGTCATCGATCCGCATCTGAGCTTCAGCGTACGTAAAGGACACCTAAATTCAACAAAAGACAATTTGAGGTTCTAGTTTTGGGAACTACTTGATGTGGATGGAATTCTCTTCAGTCACAGGGTTAATCACGCACTGCACTATCTTGCTGACACCTGGAGGCAGCGGCCGAGTGGTCAGCGTGTCAGACACAATCCAGTGGTCCTGGGTTCGAGTCCCGCTCTGACTGCAAGTTGGATTCTTGCTGACCCACTGGCTCCTGTATCTGTGCGCCTTTACGGTAGTGTACATTGTAGGCGAATTTAAATAGAATATGTGAATTCTGAAAACATACCGTAAACTTTCACGTATAAACCCCACCCCCACTTACAAGCTTCCCTCCCCTTTCCCCAAGCTATAGGCCCATTTACCTGTAACCAACAAAAAGAAAAAGTTTCCATATCGGATTATACGTTTAACTTTGTCACAGTTGTCTCAAAAAGTTTGGTTTCTTTGTGAAGCAGCGTTAATTTTACTTCATTTGGAAATGTTACCCTCTACTTTCGCATTAATTTCCTTTATGAGAGTCGTTGCCTATTAAATTCGCGTTAATTTAAGTCGCGTTAATTTCCAATACTTAAACATCATGAAGCGTTAATTTTAAGGTTAAGGTAAGCTCCTCGGATATAAGGCTCCCTATCGTTTGTATTGAAATAAGTTCGATTTTTCAGACGTTTTGACCCTGAAAAACTGAGTAAATTCAAAAATTATGTTAAACAGCACTGCCATGTATCTTGTTTTGAACGTTTTTTTAGTCCAGTTATAAGCTCCCCCGCATATAAGATCCCGGTTGGTAAGCCCTTCTAAAACCCCTTACGACGTTGTATAAGCCCCGGGTATATAACTGGAAGTTAACAGTATTTTAAACAGACGTACCCTTGAACAGATGATACTCTTTGTGAACTCTGTGGAGACAACTTCAGCTTGTGGCGTCATTTCCCACAAACAGGAAAATGCCAGTCTACAAAGTAAAGTGTGGCACCGTCAAGCACTTTTCAAATGATGATGGTCTGCTTCCACATTAATGAAATATTAATTCAAACTAACGATCCGCACATAAGAAAACTCTGTTTTGGGTATAGTAATAATACGTTTGAAACAAAAGGAAATAAAAACTGAATCGAGGATAAAATTGAATCACAAAATATACATACCGTATTTATTCGATTAACCGCCCTGGGCGCTTATTAAATTTTTGGACCTTGAGAGTGGGCGCTTATTCGAGGCTGGGCGCTTATTAAATTTTCACCATTTTCAGCAAGTGAAGTATGTTTATTTTGCAACAAAACAATAAATGCTAATAGCAATACGCGAAGAAGTAACAAAGCAAGGTTTCTGTAAAATACTCTGAAGAAAACTCCGTCCTCGGGGAAGTCTCGTATTACAATTTATTCACTCAAGCTGGTGGGCTGGGGGTGAGCGCTTATTTTAGTTTGATTGGGAGGAGGAGGGGGTGGGCGCTTATTCGAGGTTGGGCGCTTATTAACTTTTTCTGCCTTTAGGATGGGCGCTTATTCGAGGTGGACGCTAATTCGAGGTTGGGCGCTTATTCGAATAAATACGGTATTGTAACAAGCACTGGGTTGTTAACAATTAATTTAAAGATTGTAGGGTACGTAAAGTAAAAACAAGGTCGGAAAAAAGGAAATGCAGTGCTTGTTTTGCTCAAAATTGTTATTTAATCCAGTGTAAATAAATGGGGAATTGTCACTTCAGCGGAACATTTTTAAGAATACGGTTATTACAAACCTATCAACATTGGATCTCAAGGAACAGAGGTCTGAACTGAGAAGGCCTGGCACCATGTCAATGCGCTGTACCGAAAAAAAAAGGTGTCAAAGAATATAAGTTGACGTTTCATTAGTGCCATCACAGGATCGCTACTGGCAGTTTTATTGCAGTTTTCCGGCGAAACCATTACCGCACTGCAACGACTCCCCTACATTAAGCGAAGCTCTATGACATGCCCCAAATAATCGAATCGAAAGATCGAATCACCTTGTCTGTAAGATAAACTGTGGTTCCTCTATTACCAGCTTCGTCGTCTAGTGCTGTGCCCGGTCTGATGAAGTGCGTTACATCTGCTATGTGTACACCGACCTTGTAGAAAGAGAGAAAACTGTGATAAGAGTTGTGGATAAGAACAGGTTGAAGGAATAAGATTTCAGGTCATACACATCCACAAACAAGGGGTGCTTGAATCATGTGAACGAACATCGACTCTTACGTCCATTTAAACATGATTCTAAAATACTGAAAATAAGAAAATTCTGGCTGTTCATAGGCATGAGTTTAATAGATTCGAACGCAAAGGGTCGTTGACATCTTCTCTGCTACACTAATCCTACCACAAAAAAAGCTCAATTAAAACCTACTAAAACCGCATTCCAAAGGTTCTGATAAGGCCAGGCTTCGAATTCGGTGGGCTCAATATTGATCATGAAAATGTAGTTAAAAATCTTTTGCCACCATTAACTGTTAATTTTGAATGTTGGTTGTATTGCGACCATTTTTTTGCTACTAGACCTTCGGAAATAATACCAAAGTTATTTCCTCCTTTGCATGCAACCAAAACATTTGTTTTGATTGGATTATCGTACAAGTTTCAATGCTTTCTTTCTGTGTTTCCTACTTTGTTCTACCTGATAGTTCCCATTCTCCATTTTTGTCCAGTGTAAGGCGTCATCAATGTCTGTACAGCCAGGAGGATCAATGCTACACACGGCAATATGGCGCAGGTCCATACGACTTTTCACATCCTACAAACATCATGAAGAATGAGCTAGGGTTAATGATTTATTTACATCACATTTAAGTTCAAAAGATACCTTGGAAAATGCGTCTTGAAACATTTCTTGAAACCAGAAATCAAAGACTAGTCCCCAGTCTTCTTCGTAACGCGTACGGCGAGAGCAGGGTGTGATGGGAAGGGAGAGGAGAGGAGGGCACAAGATTTCCCTGTCGCCTCAACCCCTTGCTTTCCTCCTTCCCATCAGATCCTTCGCGCCACTAAATTTGGAGTTAATGAATACTTCTGTCCTTAGTGAATTGAAACCTAAAGAGAAATACCAAACCTCATCAGTTATCCCCCAAGGCATGGCGGGAAGGTCCTTTTGAACAGCTGCTGAGAATGGCAAATGTGGTACATCCCGCTCCAACAGAAGCACTTCATTTTCTGTCTCCTTGTCGCCAATTACGCCCAGTTTGCGTACAAAATGGCCCTAAAATAATTCAGAAAAAAAGTGCCGCTGGTGCGATTAAAAAAGATTGTACTTCAAATTATGGGACTTAAATGATATAGAATTTCAGTTATTTGATAGTAAACACGACCCGTTCTGAAAGGTGACACTTGCTCCTTTAACCCTTTTAACCCTCTTGCGACACGAGACTCTCGCCTCTCGAGCCGCGACGCTCGTCGTTCGAAACGCGATCTACCTACAGTCTCAGTCAAAATTGTTGGGACACTTTGCTGTCTTCTTGCCCTCCCAATGTTGGCGTGCAAGATTTGGTGAGTTAACTGCGATAACCAACATTGGGAGGACGAGGAGACGGGCCAGAACTGAAAAAAACAGTGTTGGGTGGAAGTGTCCCAACTATTTTTGTCTGAGACTGTACATTGTAGTTTAGTTTGTCTTCAGTCCTCTTAGACAATCTAACCATATCACAGAGTAACCCATAGACTATGTGTATTCTTGCTAGTTTTCGCTTGTCATAAGAAATCAAGATAGCGGCCACTTGAACTCGGTGATCTACCTCGACAGACGGAAACATAGGCAACTGTGAAAAGTTTAACCTGTTTTGGGCCAAGGAAAAAAGTTGCAAACATTTGCTAGTTTCCTGAACTAAGAGCACTCCCTCACTTTCCTCAGGGATAGTTGAGCGAGCGAAACGGACGAGCTCGCGTGAATGAATCGCCGCGTTACCTTCCTCGCGAGAGGCGATTATCACGCGCGCTCGCGTATTTCACTCGCCCTATCATCCCTATGGAAAATGAGAGACTACTCGTGATCTACTAAGTTTCATTTTTGGTCCACAAAAGAGAAAACACATGAAATAATGCCAGTCTTACCACAGGGTACTTTGAATGCTGAGGCCAGGAGTCGATGCTAACCACAATTCTTTGCCCTTCCAGTGTGTCAGCCTGACGTGTTTCAATGACAATCCTCGGGATCCTTCTCTCTGCCGCTATGAACAGGTGTCGCGTCCCCTGTTAATTCAAAACCAAAGTAAAAGGTGAAGCAATCCACAATCTTACAATTTTTCATTTATTCAAGTAGTTTTCCTTCTGCGACTACAGGGAAGCACCATGTGATAAACAGCTTTTATATATTTGATAAGATAAGGTAGCAATAAATACAGAAGTATCTGGATATTTTAACCTGTGGTTTTGAAGACTTGGATAGGACACCACAGTAAGGCCGCCAGTTTCTCTTAATAATACCAACAACCTGTGGAAAAAAAATTAAATATCATAAATAACATTTGACAGAGGCACATGGCCTGGAAGCAAGCTCCCCTGACTCGGGGGTAGGGTCCCGCACCCTTTGAGCCGAAAGATCCTAATCAAGAATGAACATGGATGTTCCACGAACGAAATTGAGCAAAGCGTTTGGTCAATAAGGAAAGGATGGGATGTATTAGCTTCTCTAATTGAGGAGGGGTAGTGGGGAATATCAAACTAATTTAGCTGAGATTGTGCTGATACTGCGATGATCTGTTTCAATCTTTCCCTGTAATATCAGCTGCTAGGATCACAGAAATGTTAATTACCAGGCATTTTACAATAATTCCAGGAAAAGTGTGAGAGGTCAAATTATAGATGGTTATAAATACCTTTCCTGACATCACCTTACTTGAACCACCAGTCTGAAATATAATTAACAAAAAAAAAGATTAAAAATAAGTCAATCTCCAAGTAGAACATCAGCTTACATTGTACGGGACTAATAGCTGTCTGCTTAGATCCAGTTGGTGAGATCCCATCTTATTTTCAGAGACAGCTGTTCCTTATTGACTAAAAGCTCGCATTCAAAATGAAAATAATTGCTTGCACTCTGAGGACAGTATAAAATTCCCGTAGAGAAATTTCAATATGGGAGATAAAGTGTGTGCGAAACATGGAAAAAAAGTTTTCTTAACTAAGCAAAGACCTCGCCCTGTTCACACTACAACAACAACAAAAAAATAGAGTTTGGTGTTTGTACCTGAATGGCTTCCTATCAACAGATTTTTTTGCAAAAGCAAAACAAAACCAAACAAAAACAAAAACAAATATGAAAGCCTTTATAGTGCGAACAGAACCTTAGCCTTACTGCAAAAGGAATAAACTAGAATAAACAAATTACCTCTGTTTGAACATGAATTTCTGAATAATGCGAAAAAGTAAGTTTCAGGTTTTGTTCATCCTCGGAGACCCAGGGGCAGTTAGTTGGGCCGGGTTAAAAGGCGCGACAAAAGTTTTCAAGCATGGGCGGAAGAGCCCCTGGCTACCGACTCTCACCGGACCATTACCAAACGGTCAAGAGAATGCTGGTTCCTGATTGGGCACAAAAAATGCTTTGTATTATTGTGCCCAATCGGTGAACAGTTTCTCCCGAGTTCTTTTCGTGAGTTCGTACACGACGGCTATTATCT